GGTCGGTAGGCCTGACCATTGGTCGGTAGGCCTGACCAATCAGGACCATTCATCCACTGTAGCAGGATTTTGTTCATGACAAAACCTGTCATCTCCTACATCATAGTCCTAAGCTGTCTTACTAGCTAGCCACCAATGTTTGCAATTTCTAAAAGGTCAAGCACTCCAAAGCAAACTTGGCCCAAAGACTGTACAGAATTTGGGATTGTTATTTTTAAAAAAGCGAGACCAAGTTTTAAATGGTCATTCCTGCACCATTGGAAATTGCTTGAAAATTGGACTAGGATTCTAGGAGCCCAGGGTTCAATTCCTTGTTTGGCCATAAAACCTACTGGGAGACTTCAGACAAGTCACTCTCTCTCAGCCTGAGATATGGCAATGGAAAACTCCCTCTGAACAAATCTTGCAAAGAAAACCCTGTGACAGGTTTGTCTTAGGATTGCCATAAGTCAGAAATTATTTGAAGGCATCCAGCAATAACTTCCTTGCACCACATGACACGCAAAGGATCAGTGGCCACTGTACTGCTTATGAACAAAATTTTGTTTCATAATTCAACTAAACAGAGGCTACAGATCTTTAGCAATATATACATGTTGACAAGGGATGGGTGGCTGCAAATTTATTGGCTTTTTCAGGAACACATCAGCTGACTTAAACACACAACCAACCATCAAAATTAAGCAAAACAAATAGCATTTTGAAAAGTTAAAATAACATAGTGCTTTTGTGCCATTGTATCAAGCTGCACTGCAGTATGTTTTTGAAACAGTTGTCTGCTATTTTCAGAATAAAAACAATTAGTAGTCTTGTTTGTCTAACTTCTGTGGCGCCATGCATGGTGACTGCTAAGCAAAAAATGATCAGTGTAGTTTTTCCCAGTGCGGTTAAATGAATGCAAGGGTTAAAAATGCCATTTTCTACACCTATATCCCTTCTGCATTTGTGCATGGAATAAAGACTTTCCCCCAAGTATTTCAGTAGAGCAATTGTTAAGTGCATGGGGCAAATATTTGCTGGAGTAACTGCCACATCCAAAGCCCTGGTGGTTTCCAGAAAGTATAATACCGGTATTTTACTCCTAGTGGGATGTTAAGAATGGGGAAAGTGACCTGTATCCTATTTGTATCCAGTGGTCTTATACTCCTGTGCAAGAATCCCCATTTAAAACAGTGCAGCAATGGGAAATGGAACAGTTTTGACAAGGCTTCAGCAAAGATGCCATATCGTATACAGTAGCCTAAGGACACTGTTGATTGGCATATTTAGTAGAATATGATATTCCCCCTAGTGTCATCAGTACAAAATGTCCTTCTTCCTAGACACTGTCTGAATATCATTAGGATTATAACTAGAAGAATTTATTTATTTGGAGTATTTATACCCTACTCTTCAGCCACAAAGGCTCTCAGAGCAGCTTACAAATGGTTAATTAGACAGTTCCCTACCCTCAGGTTTACAATCTAAAAAGACATGACACAAAAGGAGAAGGGAATAGTGGTGAGGAAGGGGATTAGGTCCAGCAGTTTTCTCTCCCTCTGGGGCCTGGACCGTGGCAAAAAGAAAATGTGAATGTTTCTACCCATATGAATTAAACTGGGATTTTATGGGTTGTCACTTCAGGTATTATCCACATGCATTGTCAGTCTTATTCTGCTGGAGTTCAGATAGCAGAAGGTTCCCTCTACTTGTTCAGTCCTTCTGCTTAATCACCTACACATCTGGAAGTTAATTTTGGAAACCTGGAATTTTGGTAACCTGTAAGGAAAAACACTTAGGCATCTTTTTGCAGTTTTAAGAGATACCACATTTTCCCTTTTCTCACATGCAATACTCAGTGAAGTGGCTGGCACAGGTGTAGATAGCACAATATACAGTGGTGCTGTGTTGTATATTTCCTTCAGCTGAGAAAGCATCTACACAGTTACAGCCACTAATAAAGTTATAGCAGTTTAGTTTTTTGTGGGTGTTTCGAGCTGTGAGGCCTGAAGATGCCAACCACAGATTCAGGCAAAATGTTAGGAATAAATTCTTTTAGAACATGGCCTCACAGCCTGAAAAACCCACAAAAAACTATGAATGCCGGCCGTGAAGGCCTTCAGTTTCACATTATAGCAGTTTGATAGCCACTTTAAATGTCATGGTTCTATTCTGTGGAATTCTGGAATTGGTAGCTTGGTGAGATACGTAGGGTTCTGTACTAGATCTCTCCAGTGCACTCTTCTGAACTATAGTAATAGAGCTCTCTAGAAGGGAATCTTAAGTACCTCACCAAACTCCTATCCTAGGATTCTGTGGGATTCTGTGGGATGTTATCCAGCTGCTATAACTGTGTGACATAGATATACTCTAATGCCTACTTTTAGTTCTACTTTTGGGGGAAAAGATATAGATTCATGGAGTTGGAAGGAACCCTGTGTGCCATCAGGTCTAACCTGCTCAGTGCAAAAACTCCAGCTAAAGCATCCCCAGCAGGTAGCTGTCCAGCTTCTTTTTGAAGACGTCCAAAGTAGGAGACTCCACCACCTTTCTGGGCAATTGGTTCATTGCTGAACCACTCTCACTGTCAAGAACTTCCTTCTGATGTTCCATCGAAATAATAATAATAATAATAATAATAATAATAATAATAATAAT